CGTACGAGACCTTTCTAGTTAGTTTGAAGCTTTTTATCTGGAACAATGAGTACTTAGTACGCTATTGTGCCAGATCAAAGGCTTGTAAATAATCAAAAAAGGTAGAGCAAAATTAATGGTTAGTCGTTTCTGACTAGTTTTATAGTTTATTTTGAGGAGGGTGTTTTTTAGTAGATTAAAGTTCCACACTACTGCTTTTCGTCTGGCAGTGTCTTTCGAGATTTTTCACCCTTCCTCTGGGTAAAAAAAAAAAAAAAAAAAAATATGAACGTATGTACATATGAATGTAATAGAATTGAAAATTTTGAAATGTTCTGTTGGAACAATTAGAAATAAAATTATACTACAAACACACATAATTGTGAATGGATACCTGTTTTTTTAAACCTGTTGGTGAACATATAGGATTAAATTTGTTAAATAAAGAAAAGGTTTAGGCAAAAACCAAATAATAGTTTTATTCAAATATGTATATGTATATATGAATGAATTCGATTATATTATTATATATATATAATAACTAGTCGTGTGTGGTTGCATTGCAAGCCTTGCAAGTATTATGCCTGTAGTTTTGAAATTGTGTTCCATTCTGTGGCTGAGATATTTTAAGTTTACTTTATTTCTTCAAAACCACACCCGTAATATACGTAAAGATATGTTTTTTCCTAATAAATAATAAGATAAAACTTAAAATAACAAAAGTTCTAAAAATAATTACCAAAAAATACATAATTAAACAAATAATTAGTTCCTTGGAGATCTCATATCTTTTGAGTAACTTATTTTAGAACCTCGCTTTGAGTTATGGCGTATAAAATCGTAAAATACCTTTTACAATAAGCACGCACTTTAAGCGATAAATGACTGTATACGCATAAAATAATTCGCTACTACAATGCATGTATGTATGTATTTGGAGTTTATAATACATGCGAATAAAACGCGTGACTGTAGAATGAGTTAACACTAATACTAACGTGTATAGGGTAATGCGTGTAGCATACGATTTCTACGCAAAAAGTCCCAAGTTCGAACCCTGAAAAATGCGATTTGCCAGATGAGCATTTTTTATTGATAATTCTATTTTTTTTAAATTAAAATTAAAAAAGCTTCACCCTTACAAATCAATACCAGCGAGTTTCCGTTCTAAATATTTTTTTGAAAATACCCTATTTGAAAAAGTTTAATGCAATAGAATAACATTTTCTTATAAAATTTTGCCGTAAAAATATATTGTCAAGAAGTTTAATGTACACTTATGTTTTGCTTACTAACAAATTTTGCATGAGATCTCGAAAAGAATACATAACTAAATACGTACGTACATACTTATAACAAAACAATGTAGATTTTTTCAATTTTCTTAAGAAATTTTGTGAATATAACAAAAAGTAATAACTTTTTGTTATATTCACAAAATATTTTTTGTTTTTGTATTCAAAAAATTTTAAGTACATAAATATGTATGTATGTATATTTTAAAGCTTCCTGAGAATTTTTTTAAGCTTTCTATATGAATTGAATAATATTTAAAACTGTGGTTTGCTATATAGAAATAAACTTTAAGCGCATAATTATTAAATCATGGAGGTAAACATACAACAATTAATTTTTCAAATCAAGAAAGTAAAATACATATGTATGTATATATGAATGTTTTAGAATTGAAGATTTTAAAATTTTTCGTTCCAACATATGAACGTATGTACACATGAATGTATTAGAATTGAAAATTTTGAAATTTTCTGTTCGAACAATTAGAAATAAAATTATAAATACAAACATACATAATTTTGAATGGATACCTGTTTTTTCAAAACTGTGGGTGAACATATAGAATTATGTTAAATTTTTTAAATAAAGAAAAGGTTTAGTCAAAAGCAAAATAATAATTTTATTCAAATATATGTATGTATGTATATATGAATATATGTATTTATGTATATATGAATGTTTTAGAATTGAAGATTTTAAAATTTTTCGTTCCAACATATGAACGTATGTACACATGAATGTATTAGAATTGAAAATTTTAAAATTTTCTGTTGGAACAATTAGAAACAAAATTATAAATACAAACATACATAATTATGAATGGATACCTGTTTTTTTAAAACTGTGGTAAACATATAGGATTAAATTTTTTAAATAAAGTAAAGGTTTAGGCAAAAACAAAATAAGAAGAAGCTATATATAATAGTAGTTTGAAAACGAAAAAAAATAGAGTTGACTCTGCGATACCCGTACTAGTTTGTTATTTTATGCACGAGTAAATATGCCATAGCTGACTATTTGAAAGATTATGACTTTAGGTTGTCGTATTCTAAGATATGGTCAAACTACTATTGAAGGTAAATGGCAACTACCATAAGGAGCAAAGCAATTTCAACGAATTTTATCAAACACATTCGACTTACTAATATATTTAGTTGCGCTAGATTTCAATACAACTTTTATAGCTTCGAAGATATAGTCAAACAAATTTTCAAGTTGTATGGCAGCTACCCGAACCAATACCCTGATTATATCTAATTTAAATAGGGTTATCGCATTTACTATAATAAATTATTTTTGAAAATTTAGTGAACTTAGCTCAAGTAGTTTTTGAGTTATCTTTGGGACGGACAGGCAAAGCTAAACCGACTCAGAATTCGGCACTGATCAAAAACGTACACTTAAGTCTACATCTCAGATTATTATATGTTAGCGTTACCTCGAACATACGTTTTTACGGGTATAATAAATTTAATAATATTTGCTTTTTCTAAAATTTACTTTCTTAGTTTTAAAGAACATTAATTCTTTTACCTGTGAGAATAGTTATATAGTTTTTGTTTTACCTGTTAAATTATTAGTTACTTTCACTTATTTACATATATGTATATGTATGTATATTAATTTTTATTTTTAATTTGAAAGAACTTTAAATTTCACTATTTTGCCAGCGGTAAATATAATTTAATCAATTCCCTGCTATGATAAGATTTTAATAATGTAAATAAACTCCAAAGTTAAATAAAAGAAATGAAAAAAAAATTGTATAATGCATAGATGAATACCAACATATGTATGTATGCATAGACTCCTATAATGTACAAGCCATGTTAATATTTTTGGATTTGTGTCTATTGATTATTGTACAAAACATGAGACTATAGTATTCTTTAGGCCATATATAAATTTCGTACGGGAAATCTGCGTCGCTGTGCGGTAAAATAGTTTATTTCCTGTTTAAAATTTAATTTTAATTTAAATTTAATTTTTCGTGTTATTAAATAAAATAAAGATTTATAATATATATAAATAAATTTTTTCTTTTGTTTGTCATATTTTGCATGAAACAAAATGTGGATTTTGAAAAAAATCACTAAATAAATTAATAAGATTTGGTGTACTTTTTAAAGTTTTATTAGTAATCATATTTAAATAAAATATAACAGTATATTTAATTACGTTCATATAAATAAAAATACCCCGAAAGTTTTGCGGCGAAGGATGGACAAGCAATAGTCTACGTGAAAAGGAGAACGTTGCCAAAGAACGAAGGTATCAAAGTTTTTACAAAAACAATTTTGTCATGTATTTATTATTTTGGTTTTAACTGAAAAATATTTTGTTACCTGTAATTTATTATAATGTAATTTCTTACCTGTAATAAGTAACTAGTTTGTAAGGACAAGAATTCTAATTTTGTTAATATTTAAATGAAATAAAATAATTTCTGCATATTTCTTGTATTTAATCGTTTTTTATTTTACAAACATCGCAAATCACCACATGAACATTTCTAATTTATTCGAAAATACCTAGTATAAAATATATTTCTTAACAAATGACGAGTACAATGATCAATTTTCAATGCACCGTATGAATGTATTAGTAAATTGTGTATTGTCAAGTCTTATATAAAAATGTCTGTCATGAAATATACTTTGTTATCAAACATTACTAGCTTTAAGAAAAACGGATTCAAAATTTTATGTTTTTATATAAAATTGTTATGTAATTAAAAATTTCACTTTTTCTTATGTAAATATGTTATGTAGTTAAAAAAGTTATTTTTTTATATACGGTATTTGTTTTGACTGAAAAATATTTTGTTATCTGTAATTTATTATTCCAGTTCGTAAGAACATAAAATTTCATTCTGTTCTTATTTAAACGAAATAAAATAATTTATGTACATATTTTGTATATAATCATTTTTTATTTTTCAAACATCCCAAATCACTCTGACAATTTCTAATTTATTCGAAAATTCGTAATATAAGAATAATATACATATTTCTTAACAAAAGTATATTGATCAATTTTCAGGACACTTCATGTATGTATGTATGTATATAAGTACGTAGCAATTTGCGATTTACACGGAGAAGTTAAGATATCTGCATAAAATTCAGTCATGTATCCGAAATTTTTTTTAGTACTATATAAATACATATTACATATATACACGCGTGTATAGATATATAAATTAAAACAAAATGGTTATCTGTCAACATGCGATTTGTCAACTTATCCGATAATTGTCATGTGACATGCACGCATTTTTTTAATTTAACTAGTTTTTTATTAAAATTAATATCAAATTAATCATGAATTGAAAATAAAAAGGAAAATATGTATATTGCGATATCCATATATAAATTTAAATAGGTACACACATAATTTTACCCTTCCATACATATGCGTAAGTATGTATGCATGTAAATACAAAATAGTAAATAAATAAAGTGCTTACGCATAGGCACATGCTGTTCTGAATATTAATTGAAACATCCAGCTCTGCACAAGTCGTACATACAAATGTACATAATGTACATACATTTGTATGTGCGTATATACACACATATTTTAGAAATTGCTAACATGAAACCATTGATTCTGCGAGTTAAATTTGATTTTGTAGTTAAAACACACAAAAGTACTGATTGAGATGCAGAAATATGCGTGATTTTTAATAAAATATGTAACCATAAATTATGATGAGTACTTACATTTATTATTTCAATATTTTTCAGCTTATAGAAACGCAAGTTTAGCGCTTCGTAGTTTTTTCTAAAACAATAACTTTTAGGTATAACTTCCTATTTAAGTTTGACTGAATCGTATTAGTATAAAATATTTCAAATGTAAGCATATACTTTATATTACGTACTTTATATTTTCTAAACAGGACCGAAAGAAAGGCATTCAGCTTTTTCGCTAAACTATTTTCATTTCATTTTTGAAGAACAAAAACAAACGCAGCATTTTAACGCTGTACTATAAGACAAAAGTCAAGTTAGAAATAAGTGTTGGCAATTGCTCACTAAATTTTGTCAACTTTGGGACATTATTTTCTCCAAATCACACATTTAGCATGTATACAGGCACTTTATTAAAAATTCCAATTTCAATCTCTTTCTAAATCGTCTTCAAAATTACGTTCTCTTTCTCTTTCCTAAAATATTGATGACGACTTCCGTTTTCATATACCATATTTATTATTTTCATATACCAAATTACTTTATTCTTATCCGATTTGCTCTTATATTTTTTAAAAGAAAAATAACAACAATCAATTTTTTGAGTAGCCATCAGTTAATTTTTGTTCTGCTAGCAATTAATTTTTTGAAACAAATTGTTAAATTTCGGCACAAAGTGTGAGTCCTTGACACTACAAAAAATCAAAGTCTGGACCTTGCTTTTTTTGTGAATTCATTTGCAAAATTGCCTATGTATTTTTGACAAAATTACATTTCTGAAGGATCATTCTTTTTGTTGTTATTTTGGAAAAATTGTTTTTGAATATTTTCATTTGGAGTTTTCTATACGAAAAGTTGAATAAAACCTAAAATAAAACCTAAATGAAATTTGGAGTTTTCTGAACAACATATCAAAAATTCAAATTTTAACTCGAAATTTTAACTATAATTTTGATTTAATATATTTTGTAGATTTTTCCGCATTTTTTTTGTACCGCCTTGTCAGGCAACGTATCTGAGTGAATTGAGAGTAAGAATGATAATACACTGAATAAAAAAAAATTGGTGCTATATTTTTCAGTCTAGAATACACAGCTTAAAATAAAGTCAATAAAAATTTTATTAGGTTTAAATTTAGAATTTAAGTTTGTAATTATTTGATTTTAAGTTTCATAATTATGATAGTGCTTTTGAAATTTTATAATCAAACAAAATGTGTCATTTCAAGTTGTCCCCTATATGAAAATAAAGTTGGGTCAAACCAACGGTTTGTATTGTAGCACTTTTTCCTCCAACAAGTGAAAATTCTGCTTTTAAATACAGTCTATAGTAGAGTATAGTAGACCCATCACACTATTAAAATTATTTTCATTCATATACAAAACTATTTCTATGATTGCATATATTTAGGATGAACGATTTATGCAGTCTTTGAAATAAAGCCAAAATTAATACAAAGTAGGGTCAACATAATGCTCGATTTTAAGGTTTAATTGTATGAGTTAAGAAAAATAATTTTATATTTTAATGTCATGGAATTTACCGTTAGCTTTTTGCGTTTATAGAAATTTGCAAAAGCTTGCGGTTTCGGAAATATAAGGCGTCAAAAATTCAAATTTTACAAATTTCAAGAGGCAATAACTTGAGAGGGGGTAAAGATTGAAAAAAATTTTTTTCTAACGAAATAAATTATTTGTTAGTGTCTAAAAGCTACTAAAATTTCAGGCTCCCACAACCTAGGGTCTAGAAGAAAAACAACATTAAAAATTTGAGAAAAAACGGATTTTATGTAACGGTAAATTTTAACGTCCATTTTGTTTTTTTAAAGTTCAAGTATAGCATGCCGTGATAGAAGAAGCAACCTACTGCCTTTCTGGGTTTGCAAAATTTTCATTTCAACAAATAGTTAAAAAAGGCCATTTTTAGGGTTTTGGAGAGGTATAAATTCTAGAGGGGGAGATAGGTAAAAATTTTGTTCTGCGGAAATAAGTTTCTAGTAAAGGTCTATGTAGGTGTTAAATTTCTGCTTTCTATTTTCAAGGGTGTAGAAGTTTTGTAAACAAAAAAAGTGTCCACGGATGGACGGACGGACGGATGGACGAACGAACGGACAGAGTGAAACTAATAAGCACTTTTTTTCAAAAAAATTTTTGGAAAAGTGCTAAAAAATATGTATTCTTCAATCCATATTATGTTGTATTCATATCGTATAAACTTTATACCGATTTGCTGCACAACTTATTCATTTTCGTTTTATTTTTTGTTTAGCGTTCCCACTTGAATACAATTGTATCCATTTGGATACATTTTTGCTTTAAATTTAACGTGAATACAAAGATACTCAAATCTGCTAAAACGCCACAATTGGCTACATTTAAAAATTTTGCTGAAATATAAATACATTCTTTTCTCAAACATTAAATAAATATCACAAAACTGTCGAGCTGCTGCTAATATTAAATCACAAAACTCTTTTATCGTTAAAAAAAATTATTTGTTGACTTTAATAAACATATTTCCAAATTTTTTAGCAGAAAGTAAGAAAGACAATTAAATTAGTGACAAGAAGAACATACCAAAAGGAACATACAAGAACATACCAAAAACATGTTGCAAACAGAATAGCAGAAAAGAAGATTGAAAAAGAATAAATCCAAACAAAATCAAGCTAAACTTAATGAGCAAAGAGCTCCAAAAATAGCAAAAAGTTAAAGGGAGTATCATATTCACAGGCACATCAAAGCAGAACAGGATATAAGAATAATAATAAGGAACCTGAGAACAAAACCCCACAAATGAAAAGAATTGACGCAAATATTATGCAAATCATGCATAGTATGTTGATTACTATTGACGAGATCTCTGAAAGTTTAATAAAAATAGAAAATAGATACACTGAGGTGTACACGGGGACACTAAAGAAATTAAGAAAAGACGTACGTAATTGAAATACGTATAGCAACTTGGAATGCTAATGGTGTTCTTAATAAAAAACAAAAATTAGAGATTTTTCTCAAAACGAGAATATTATACGGGCCTTAAGGTAAAAGGCTATAATTGCTATAAAGGGACACCAAATCCCTGGTGCGACGCAGATCCAGTTTTGGCAACAGTTCCGTGGTTGCTGTGTCCCAGAACCCAAACCAGGTTAATTTCGAACTGGTCCGCCAACTCTTTGAGAAGCAACTTGCAGTCCTGGACCGGTCTGGCTGTCGATGAACATACTGATTTCCCTGCAGGATATCACATTGACGACTAGTCAGCGCATAACTTCACCTAGTGCAACCACCTCCGCCTGAAAGACACTGCAGTGGTCCGACAGACGAAAGAAAATCTCCACGCCAAGCTTTCCGGAGTAGACCCCCGCTCCAACTATGTCACCCAGTTTGGATCTATCAGTGCAAAAATGTGTTGTCTTCTTCCCACCAGGTTTCGAGTACCACCAGGTCTTCTTTCACCAGGTAGGTCGAGTGACCCACGGGACCATCGAGCCACTGTGTCACAGCTCTCAAGCGCACATCATTGCCATCCTTTGGGATTTGCTTATCAGTTTTAAATTGACAGAAGTATTAAGTGCAGACCACCACACCAAAACTCCGTACAGGAGCAAGGGCCTGACCACCGCAGTGTATAGCCAGTGCACCATGCGTGGCTGCATACACCACCTCTTTCCGATGGCGTTCCTACATGAGTTAATCACGGTGGTTGCCTTCCTTACTCTGTCTGCGATGTTGGGTTTCCAGTTTAGCTAAGCTACCAAGTGTTGACGGAACCACATTCGGCGCCTTGGAGTTCCTGGTGTAAATGACCAGTTCCGTTTTCTAGGGGTTCATTGTTAACCAGCATTCGGTACCCGAGTCGAATACGAGATTTAATGCCTTTGAAATTAGCCCTCCTCCTCCAGGCGTCGCAAAATTTTATTTACGATGAGATTCCAAAGGAGAGGCGAGAGCACGCTCCTAAGGGGTGCCTCTCACAACAGAGCGCTCGACACACTGATCCCTAAAATCTGTGAGAGTTTTTTCCGGCCTTAGGTATAAAAACCACCTTAGCAGTATTCCAGATTTTTGGAATGTAGGTCAGGTCTATGCATCCTTTGTATATAGTTTTTAACCAGGGAAGGATAAAGTTAGGTTAGGTTAGGTTGCACGGCCCTCCGAAGGGTACATGTAGGCCACCAAGGCCGGTTGTGATGCCGCCGAATCCTCCCTCTCTCCCTAATTAGAACAAGGTCGAGCTCCTCAGGAACTGGCCAAGATCCCTAGCATTTACATTCGCTAGGTCCGTAGCCCGCCCAAAAAAGTGGCACCCAAGAAACCTCCGCCTGAATTTCGCCAACGCCGGACACGAGCATAGCAGGTGAGTCACCGTTTCCTCCTCCTCCTCGTCACAGCAACTCCTTCAGAGATCGTTTGCGGAGCAGCCCATCCTCCTGGCATGATCGCCAATCGGACAGTGTCCAGTTAAAATCCCTATCACCGCGCCAATATCCTCCCTTCGGAGATATATCAGATCTCTTGTGCAACGCAAGCCTAGCTTTGGCCACAACTTCCTTGCTGCATTACACGTAGTTCCATTCGCCCATCTGAGACTGGTACGTTCTACCGCTGCACTGCCTAGCTGCAGCCTGTGAGTGCTTAGGGCATGCCCAGGTTCTCTTTTTCAGGCAGAATTCTGAGGGTCGTTCCAAATCTCGCAAGCTCATTCACCTTGCAATTCCCTGAAATGCCACTGTGTCCGGGAACCCAAACCAAGTTTAACTCGAACTGCCTCGCCATCTGGTTAAGAGACGACCTACAACCTAGGACCGTTCTGGACGTAGGGGTCTGCGACTCCAGCGTCCTTATTGCGGCCTGGTTGTCCGTGAAGATGCTGCCCACGGACACCACATGCTCGCCAAGCCAACGCAGAGCCTCTCCAATTGCGACCACCTCTGCCTGAAAGATACTGCAGTGGTCCTGCATGCGGAAAGAGAGCTCAACTCCCAATTGCTCGGAGTAAACACACCCAACCACCTTTCCATCAAGTTTGGATACATCCGTGTACAAATGGACGGAGCCATTCCTGACCGCGTCCCACCAGCTTTGCCTCGGCAGGACCGATGCTTCGAAATTCCTCACGAATGAAAGCACGGGAGGAACCAAATTAATTGACCCCACCTCGTGCCCCCAGTCGGCAAGAATCGAAGCGTGACCTGTGGGGCCACGCGACCACTATGATGTGGCCACCGGACGCACT